GTTTCAGATATCACACTTTTGCGAGCACAAGATTATACAAGGAGAGAATGAAGATGATACATGATAGAAATATTATTGAGCGGAATTTTAAACCTGGAGATACGGTATTGCTATACAACTCACGACTGAGGTTATTTCCGGGCAAATTGAAATCACGATGGTCAGGGCCTTTTCGAGTGGTTGAAATTCACCCCACGAGTGCCGTAGAGATTGCTGCAGAAAATGACTCTCACGCATTCAGAGTCAATGGGCACAGGTTGAAACATTATGTGGGCATAGATGAGGCAAAAGAAGTGTCAGTGACCCATTTGATCGAGCCTCCGATGTTGAGCGTACCTTAAATGCGCTTACATGTATCGTGCCATTACATTAAATCAGACGCTTCATGGGAGACAACCCATTGATTTGTTGTATTCGTTGTGGTGACATAAGTATCCCGGGGGTAGGCATAAACACAAAAAAAAAACTTGGACGCCTAATCCGCAGTCGCGGATCTGACTGTGGATCAACCGCGAATTTTGCAAATCTTCTATCTGCGGCCACGGATCTTACCGCGGATCCGGTCACAGACATAGCGACGTCCAGGTATCAAATTTTAATTTTTTTTTATATTCTTCCCCCTTCACCACCTTTTTAGTTAGATTTTTTTCTTTAATTAAACCCCCCCCCCTCCGCATCCCCCTTTTTCTTTTATTCCCCCTAACCATAAACAACATGACAAAAACAAAAACAAAACTCTCCCCCTTCCTCAACTTCTAACGCATCCCTCTCCCCCTTCTTCACCAAATCCCCTTCTCCGAAGCGAGAAGCGGAAAGCAAAGCGTGTGCTTTTTTCATGTGAAACGCAATTTAATACATAAATAAAAAAATATTAAATACAACAACATATCCAGTATTATCCTACATTGTGGGGTCTGGGGAGGGTAATGTGTGTGCAGACCTTACCCTACCTTGTGAGGATATAGAGGTTGTTTCCAATAGAATAAAAAATATTAAATAGGCATAGATAAATGATCGAGAACTCAATAAAAATAACATATTAAGCAAATGTTTCAATTCTTAAAATAACATTGGACTTTTGTGCTACTGCCAATTACAACTCCATACACCCAAGTTGGATCTTTATTTTGGCTTGATGTCATTGGATAATGAGATAGAATTTACTACAATCACCAAAAAAAACAAAAACAGAACTGGTAGAATAGGGCAGAACCAGTGAACAACAGTTTAAAAAAACAGAGCAGTAGCATAACTAGACAGAGAAAAGAAGAACTGAAAAAAATAGAAAAGAAAAAGAGAAAGAGAAGACGAGAAACGAGGAGAGGAGTCGAGAGGAAGCAGGTAAATCAGAGAAAAGCAGAAGAGGAAGAGAAGAGAAGAGAAACTTACCTTGAGAGAATAAGAAAAGAACTGAAGAAGAGATGTCGAAGGATGTTTTGGCTTGTAGCAGTAGCGAGAAATGTTTTGGAAGAAAGGTGCGTAAGTGTATTTGTAAATTTTTTTAGAAAAACCCTAAGCAGCCGCTGGACCTTGCTTAAGCGAGCTTTTCTCACTTTTTTTCCTCGCCTCGCTTTTTTGCCTAAAGCACTCACTTTTTTTTTCAAATGCCTCGCTTTAGGTCAAAAAAGCGCAGACCTAGCGCCTCGCCTCGCTTCAGCGCTTTAAGCGAGAAGCGCTCGCTTTTAATAACCCTGGAGAAGACTTAGGCAAATTTATAGCAAACATAGCAGAAAGGATTCCGATAAAAGGGGAAATCAGAACCTTAGACTATCCTCATTCTTGCTTACAAACAGTTTATAGCTAGTTCTTAATTACTACATTTTTATTACATAATATTTAGTTAATAAACACCAACTTTGTTACTCAAATATCTGTAAAGATTGAATACGTGAATTTCTGTGAGTCCAATAACTGTGATTGATAGATTAATTCCCTGTAGGATTCGACTCCAAACTTGTTAATCGGAATATATTTACAGCGACCGTTTTGTCCTTTTTATAAGACATAGTTGGGCGTGATCAAAGGGACTCTTATCAACTCTTGGACCAGCCATGAAAACCACTCTCAATCTCCTAATGCTTCAGGAAGAGAGGGAAACACCGTTGTGAGTACGTTGTCATGCGCCTCAGCAAACAGTTAGAAGCTTATCCATGAAAACTAACAACAGAAGATAGCAAACGAATGGTCGCAATTAGGGGTATATATGCTGGTCCAAGTGGCATGTGTGGTGACTTTTATATCAAAAGGTTTGCTGCAGAGAGAAGGAACAACAACAGAGTAACAATATCGATGCTAGAATTCTCTGATTATCCAGAGAACAACAACAATAAAAACATCCCAGTGAATTCTCACAAGTGAGGTCTTGGGAGGGTAGGATGTACGCAACCTTACCCCTACTCTGGAAGGGCAAATAGGCTGTTTCCAGAAGATCCTCGGCTAAAGAGAAATGTAAGAAGCACCGATAGAAAGTAATAACAATACAGGATATTTAGAAGAACTAAATCCAAGATAACAAAGGGGAAGATGAAAGAAGTACTTATCACAAGTAATAACAGTGCTAAGGTATATAATGATATCAAACTAAAGGGATACTAATGGCAAGTACTAACAATACAAGATATGTGGAAATAACAAACTAAGGGTAAAAGGGATATCATACTAACACTAATATTGTTGAACTAACGAAGACAAAAGGAAACGCTCAACTACATCTAACCTTCTACCCTAATTCTCAACCTCCACTCCCTCCTGTCAGGGGTCATGTCCTCGGTAAGATCAAGCTGCACCATTTCCCGCCTAATCACCTATCCCCAAAATTTTTTCTGCCTACTTCTACCCTTCCTCTTACCCCCTAAGTCTAACCTCTCACACCTCCTGACCGGGGCATCTGTGTTTCTCCTCTTTAACATGCTCGAACCATTTCAACCTTGCCTCTCGCATAATTTCCTTCATAGGGACCACTCTCACCTTGCCCCTAATAACTTTAATCCTAAGTCTATCAAACCTCGCATGTCACACATCCATCTCAACATCCTTATCTCCGCTATTTTCATCTGTTGGACATGGGAGTTCTTAACTAGCCAGCACTCTGTCCTATACAACATAGTCGGTCTAACCACTACCTTGTAGAACTTCTCTTTAAGTCTCAACGGCACATCCCAGAGAACATTGAAACTAATTACCCATTCACATACACACAAAAAAACCTTCTTAGTTGGATGCAACTTTCCCTTGAGCCAAAGGAGATATCTCTAATATCACTTTCAGAATTGACAGATTCCTATTCGTCGCCTCTGACAACACAACTATATTACTGGAATATAAAGAAATCACTCCTACTTCAAATTTAAGAAAATGTGAAAAAAAGGATTTCATCAACATTATGAGTAATTGTGGTACATGAAAGTCCAGATTTCACCTTAGCTAAAAATTAAAGACGCGAAAGGATAAATTAAAGGATGGAATAACACTTCCTTTGGTTTTCTGGAGAACAGAAAGTCTCGGAAAATTGTGATAGAATGCTTGGAGAAGGAACCTAAGAGGAAGATCTCGAATCACGGAAAATTTACAAATGAAACTGAAAGACATTATGAATAAGTACCCAGGAGCCAAAAGTCTGAATGCTTACAAATGAACAGTTCCCAAAACATGGCCAATGACCATAGAAGATATCATACAATCACAAAGATAAGTCGGAAGTAAATGATGAGAAAAGGGAAAATAGTGCCACTATGAAATTCTCAGCTACTACAAAAGGTTTACACACATATTAGGCCTACTTACACACTAGAAGATAGCGCCAACAAAACTAACGCAAATGAGTCTTGACTATCCGCAAAGGCAACACAAAACGGAGAACCTATGGCAACGGATACCAGAAAATGAAACAAAAAAGGCTAGTAAGTTGGAATTAACCATACTTCTCTATTGGTGGAAGACTCGCATTTATCAATAATGTCCTTCACTCTCTACCACGTATATCATGTCACCCTTTCCTACCCCCACAGTAAAAGAGACATAATATTTTGAGAAAGGAATTCTTTTGGCATGCCCCTTGTAAGATGAAGTTGTGTTACAGAAAGCAAGCACTGAAACACGAAAAATAGCTATGAGGTGATTCACACAAGCTGTGGGGGCCCACTAAATGGATGTCATCATAGAAAAAATGGCAGGGAAGAAGAATTTACAGAAGATACATATTTTAAGCTTGATCAATGTGCAACTAACATAATTTTCAAGACAAACCTAAATGACTAAAAAGTGGGAACGATATTTGAATTCCTCAAAATTCGGGACATATTCCAAGGCTTAACTGATGATGCCAGTATATCTTGCAGGAAAGCCCAAAGCAAAGGAATCTTTTCGATACAATTTTGCTAAAGCTCCTTATCTATAATAACATTCAACTAATTAATTGGCCTCCGAAACAAATAAGGACATACAATACTTCTCCTCCTGGCATGTGGTCTGTGGTGCTTGATTGACACAAGAAAACCTATATAAGAGAGGTCTCACTCTATGCAATAGGTGCTACTTACGTGAGAAAGAGATGGACCCCATCTGTCTCCTCCTATTCCTTCACTTTACAATAACAACACACCTCTGATAGATATTCTCAAGCACCTCAGCATTGTCCTTGCTTACATTTAGTGGAATAAACACTCACAACACACACACACAAAGAATTCCCAGGTGCTTCAAGACGACTACAACGGCACTCTGAAGATCAAGCTCAACTGCTACATTTTTACTCCTTTTAGTGTAGAATGAACTGCGTACATCAAGTTGAAACCTAGCTAGATTTCATAGTCCTTATATACTTGATAATTGACATACTTCCGATGTTTCAGTTTTTGCTTTCGCAACCTTCTGATGTACTAACAACAACACCTTCTTTGTGCACTGTACATCAATAAGATCCATTTTTGGACGATAAGAAAAACACAAATGTCACTGAAGCGCTCTAAATTTAACATGCAATACATCGGACTATTAGCAAATACAGAGAAAATCTCTTCTTTCACAAGTCAAACTAACTGCTTTTGTTAAATGATTATGACATACAGACGTTGGGAGCTTACTGGTTTAGATACAACAACAACGACCCAGTATAGTCCCACAAGTGATTACTGGTTCAAATAATAAGTTAATAAAACAGATATGTCATTGACCATAATCACTCACAACTAAGTTCACTAGCAGTACAGACATTGAACTAAATAAGAAAAAAGAAGTCGCAGAGACGCACGACTTACATACTCAAGAGAATCTGGGTTGACAGGATAAATAAGGGGGTACACCGTTTTATTATCCTCCCTTATAGGAGCAAGGAAATTAAAGTCGAACACTTTTATGTTGAAGTCCTGCAAGCCAATTGAACTGTCAATAGTAAAACATCAACTAGTAACTAAGGAGGTCCATAAGGTGTTGTTACCTCGTCACTCATTATGTCAGAAAGATCGATTGCTCGGACAGTAAATTGCTTCTCGTGCAACCAAGCAATGAGGCTTGCAAGTTGAGTAGCCACATTTATTCTACCATGCAAACGAAAGTCAGTGCCTGCCAAAGGTACAAATGACCCATCAAGAGCACACAGAAGTAGTAAATTTATTTAGTAACAAACTATAGCTTTCTTGAGTAGCTCTAATACCAAAATGAAGCAACTACGACAAAAACATAGTTGGTTTTTCATCATACACAACAGCAAGTGCTTCCTGGAAGCAGAACCCCTTTATCTTCATCAAATTGGGATGCGGGTTTTCACCCGTCAGTATTTCAAGCTCATTCTGCAAATTTTCCAATAGAGAGAGAGAGAGAGAAAAGGGTAGAGAAAGAGAAATGGGATCCAATATAACGATGGTAACATACACAAAATCTGTATGGATGGTCACCATAGTACTTCTGTCTTGGACAATAGAAATCCCATGTCTTGATAGTAACTTCTTGCACTTCTACGCCTTTGTCATCGTGAATGACACCTTCGTACAATCTCCCGTGCATAGTCTTTCTAATATCCCTGTCAAAGTTTCCAATCATATCTTTCAAATCGTCAAATCTGTATCGTTTCACATGACCCAAGGGTGCTAGAGTCATTCTCCAAAGAGAACTCATGAAGGAATATATAATCAGTGTTGAGAATTTGCAAATAAAGATCCTCACACTAGTCATCTCCTTATAATTTTGGAACTCATACACGCTAGAAGAAGAAAACAGAGGACATCATCTCACCAATTTTTGAGTAAGATGTGCAATTATATGTTTGTGAAATTTTTCATTGTTTTCTTTCCCGGGAGTGATTTAAGTTAAATTTACAAATGGGTCTATAATCGTTAAGGTGATGTGACAAGAATAATTAAAATCCCATTATTATAACCATATAATAGACAAAACCTAAGAAAATTACAGAGCCAAAAAGCCAAAGGAGAAGACAAAAATATCTAACAGAAAAGAAAGAAAAAAAAAACTAACACAAAAATCAAGAGTATCATTGATTCGTTCAAAGATTTAAGAAAAGTTAAAGCGGACAATTCTGAAGAAGAAAGTGAGAGAGAGAAGCATACTCATTGGTGGCCATCTGCTCCTTTATTTTCTCGCAAATCCCCATAAACGTTTCTTCAAAACCCTCAAAACAGCGATTGTGGGACTTAATATAGTTGTCCTTCTGATAATAGAACGCTGCATCGCCCCATCGCGCCAATTCCTTCCTCAACTTTTCCAGGCTTTCCAGGCGTTCCATTGATTTTGCACTTTGCAACGAGAGGAAGGAGCGGAATAGATGTAAATGCGGATGAGTATTGGAGAGAATTAGAGAAAAGTAGAGGAATTCTTATTGATTTTGGAATAGAAGTCGTTTGCCAAATAATAAACCCTACAATTTCTCTAAATATCGACATTAGCTATAAAATTTATTTATAACACTCCCCTTAAATATCTATTCGACAGATAATATCTCGTTAAAACCTTAACTAAAATAAAACCAAATGAAAAAAAAAAATCTAGAGAAGAAAAAAGAGTACACATATTGAAAAACTTAGTGGGACAAAACCTTTTAAGAGGAAAAAAATACAACGCATATTAACTCCCCTGATAAGAGCATCAATTCACATATTCAAACATTTGTATTCCAATCTTGTGCACCATCTTTAAAGGATCTTTGGTAGAGATTTGATAAACAAATCAACCATATTAACTTGAATGAATATATTGCATCTTGAAATCATCAATCTTGATAGAGATGTAATGTCTTCATAAACTGCAATGGAATGGCCTTTTCAATATCTCCATAGAGGTATTCTCGTTATCACATTATCATGCTTATAGTTATAGCAAGATATATTTGTACACAAATTGCACTGAGGAAGTGGTACTTCAAGATCAAGAATTGTATATGCTTTAAGCAGTTTAAATCCTTTAGAGATTATCATATAAGTATAGTCAAATAAGCCATTTAAAGAGACTTTAGATGCATATCAACTTTTCATGTCATGCTAGACATATAAGATAAATAAAAGTGATTGCACACACCATTGACTTTATACCTTCAAGCATTTGAACTGCAGATCCAAAACAACATGTCTTTCATATAAAACCAATTCTACTTGAATTGTTTCTCTAGACTTAAGATCCTCATATATATTTAACGCTATTATAGATGTCGTCGAACATTTTATATCGATTCCAATATTTTTTCATAAAGACATGACATATAGATCTCTTCATTCATATTTTTAGGTACCTGAATCTCTCTTGAGATTTTATGAGATGTTATGTCATGTGATCTTCAAGATCAATTGCATCCTTATTATGATCATTTTGATCATTTGCTCATCTTCTTTATCAAGAAGTTTATTTGAAACCGATTTGTTTATACGCTTTAAGCGTAGCATAGACTTTGTCCTTCTAAGACTTAATAGGAGCATTTGCAATGAGAATATAGTTACTTTCTTTGGGTCAGCAAATGCGTCTGGCATGCTTTGAAATATATTGCAAATGAATTATCCTTTTACGAACTTTAAGTTCATATTATCGTATTCGAGGATCTAGATATACAAATGATAATTCATTCCACGTAACTTTTTCTCAACTGTTTATCTTGTCTCCCCCTTATGTTAAAAAAACTAACTTTTTTCCTCAATTTTGGGAACCCATCTATGTGTGTTATGGTGTTAATCAATATATATATCGCACATCAATAATAGCAAGATGGAATTATTTGGTTCCTGACACCGGACCACTTGTGAGGAGAGAATATACTATATTTTCGTATATAACGTATATCAAACTGATATAGATAATTTTGTTCTCATAAGTAATAGTTTAGCTATTAAGTGGAGGCACTCAATAAATTATTTTGCTAAACCAACTGTGATGTAACCCAACTTATCAAGATAAACTATCTTGGATAGAAAATCTGGAAATTATGCTCTAAACTAAATTATTGAGCAAATTACCTCGCAAACACCAAGTTGCGGGTTAATAATAATCGCACATGTAATCATCTCATAGATGCATCTTATGTGGTATACATGGAAGGTGAATGAGCTCATATTCACCTTTGATATTTCCAGAATTAATGGGATTCAATCCTAACTTTAGTTGGTCAATTAATTAATGAGAACAAGCAACATTAGAGAATTCGTAAAGAACTTTCTAGTTCTTTAATATTTACCCATGTGAATTCTCTTTTATTTTTGCACATCATACTTAAATTGATATGACTAAACCAGCTATGCCAACTGAATAAATTATCAATATTGATAAAGTTCAGGTTTATAGCATGACGTGTGCAATTATCGATAAACTCCAAGTTTATTATGATATGAGTTTTTATATCAATAAACATCCACTTTATTGTGTCATTCTTTTGTTTGTGTAGTACAAACTGGAGAATAAAGCGGGAAGTTTTTCACATACATATTATCCCGCTACAAGTTGTAGTAATAGAAGATATCAAATCTTTCCTTTGTTTATAGTCTCAATATAATCAACCGCTTTCGCGTATACTTTGGAAACTGAATAAGTTTCTTTGAGACTTACTACAATACAATACCTTATTGGTAATCAATTGTGTTTCTCCAAAATAGTATAATTGGCTATTGTAGAGTTCTCAATTAATTTTGTACTACCACATATTCGTCAACATCCATATGGTGAATATCTCTTTTAAAAAGAAAGTTACACCATTATGGTTACGGTCAAAATTATAGGCAAGATTTGTTTCTTGCATTACTGTTGTCTTTTAATAATCACAATGCCAAAATATTTTGGCATACAATAAGTACGTGAACAATGACCATTTAAGCCATAATAATGACATTATTTTCTTATATCATCTCAAACCTTCTTCTAGAGGTGAGTGTGGTATATTCACTACCACTAGAACGTTCATATTCTTCCAAAAATGAATATGTATTTATAAATCAGATGTTGTCACATTCACATCATGAATGGACCATAATCATCTATATGTACTTTATAAAATCTCATGTCAAATTGATGACAAAATATTACTTTCACAGAGTGAAGGATTATTTTGAGAATCCTTATTATTCTCATTGTCATAATGATGACGATTATAATTTCGTCTATTGCCACGTCCACATCCATTGATACCTTTACGGTAATAATTTTGTCTTCTTTCATACTTATCACATATTGCTATCACAATCTCTTAAGGGAATGAGAATGGAGCAAATTCAATGGGACGAGTTTTCAATTCTTTGCCCACAATCATACATGAATTTGATCATGGCAAGGCATAGAAATTCTACTACTTCAAGTGGGTGTAATTTCTTACAAACTCCATTAGAGTTATAATCAAACTTTGTTGTCCTTACTTGTATATAAAATCAAATTATAGAATTCCAAGAATTTGAAAGAGCAAAGTAAAATACTTACCTTAAATCCAGAATTTAATCATGAAGTAAGTTCATGGAATAATTGACAATCATTATGCTCAATTCCAAAGCTTCTACTCAATAAGTTAGAGTCTTGTGCTGATAACGTGTTATGAAACAATAAAAGAAGAAGATGAGTATTGGAGAGAATCAGAGAAAAGCAGAGAGAGAGAGAATTCTTATTGATTTTGGGATGAATTACAATGGAATAGAACCCTCTATTTATATAGAGAGAGTGACTTAGCCACCAAATAATAAACCCTAGAATCTCTCTAAATATAGACATTCACCATAAATAAAATACTATTTATAGCAATACTCGTTTATTGTATTTTTAACCCCTTTTTTCACTTTCTTCTTGAAGTTCTAATATCCCTCTATTGTCATTAATTCCCCCCGTACACCCCCACCCCCTCAACCAACCAAAGTATTCCCACAATAATGCTTTTGTCGTCTTACTATTAAAGATAAATATTCATATTTTAACATATGGACTATGTGGCATGACTAAACTCATCCGGTTATTTTATTACTTATCTGATCCAAATCCTTTACACCCACCCTAAAAATTAGGCTCTTCACCCAATTAATGTGTGAACCCTACCTTGTTGTACTTATTTTTTATTCCAGCAATAAAAGCGCTTTGTCTCTCTCTCTCTTCCATAACTGAAAAGCTAAACCTTGTAATTCAGTTTTTTTTGTTCTTCGTTGTTTATAAGGTAGACTTAAAAAGTTGGTTCAATGTCTAGTTCAAGTGTTACATCGAGAAAGAGGTGCTATTGTGGGGATATTGCGGAAAACTTCACTTCGAGGACTCCAAACAACCTCGTAAAGAGATTCTACAAGTGTGCTAAACCTGAAGTAAGTTTGAATTTTGCTTGTGATTCATTACTTGAATTTTTTAAAGTTCTAATTTTTTGCTCTTTAACATAGTTATTGATTGTGTTTGTGGTATTGAGAATAGCAAGACGAAGTTATTTCAGTTAAAATATTGATGGTAATCAACATTTTCAAGTTTAAATTAGATGCTTCCATTGACGAAATCACGATGTTGAATATGTTGTCAAATACGTGCAAGCTTGAAAGGGACAAATTGATGGAAAATGTTGATGTTTTAAAGGCTATAAATGATGTTGAAGTGAATAAAGCAAGGGATATGGAAGTGAAAGTGATGCAGATGAAGATGTTCATTATGATTTCATTTGCATTATTTGTCGAATTTGATGTGGCATTGTCGATGAAATGAATTCTGCATTTTGTCTAGTGCCGTAAGTTTTTGATGAAGTGAATTGTTGTAAAATTTAGATTGTCATGAATGTTTTGTGTAGGTTAACTGGATTGTAATATGATGAATGTTTTGGCGTGATTTTTAACATATTGTAATGCCTCAATACTTGTAGTTCCATATATGGCATGTTAATGTGAATTTTAAATTGAACCAAAAATTAAGCACTTAAATTGGGCAGTAAGGCACACTTAAAATCCAACACATTTCAATTTCAACTTAACCATAAATTTGCAGTAAAAAACTAGGCAAATTAGGGCACACTCTAATTTTTCAATGTTCAGGCATGTATGACTAAACTGAATGAGTTCAACTATAAATGGCCAGGTCTTCCAAGGCATACACATCAATATACACAAGTCCAAAAATCATAATAATAATTGACCCAACTGCAAATAGCATTGGCGAAGTCTCAAAAACAATCCACTCACTTTCTGGACATTTGAAAGAATATGACAACAATTACACACATTTAACCATCATCACTTTAAAACTTCACTAACATTAAATATTGATCATCACGAAGTATTGTCAATACAGTAATTATATATCACCAAAAATAGTAAATATGGTAGGTCAAACTGATGATTGGATGTCAAACTATAACCCCCAAAAACTTATAAAACTTAAGTCATACTATGATATCTAATTCAGTTATCAGTACCAATATTAACAGAACATTAAACTTGAAACTATCATTAAGTTTGCAGTATACATGCCACATCACAAAACTAAATAGAACAGCTTGACCATTTTCCTTTTCTTATCTTCAACTTCCTAATCTTCTATTGCCTTTTTTTTTTTCTAATTGATTTGAAGATGTAGCTGTTTTCCCCTTCTAGATTAGGCTTGCTGGTGAATATGGAAGATGTGTGGGCTCACTAATACCAGTGTGATTATCAGTAAAGTTGATTGACTTTGTCCTAGATGGTATGTTTACATGCTGCCTCATTTGAAGTCTTGTTTTTAATGCTCCATCTCTATGAACTTAAAATTTGGAACCATACTTGGTTGGCTGGCTATAGGTGTATGCTTGAAGCTAAATCCACTTTCTTGACTATCATTTGTGGTACGGAATAGTGGATTTCATCTTCAGTTTCAAAATCTAACAAAGTGCTCACCCTCTTCAAAGGTTGTGTTCCCTTACTTAGATGTTTTCCCTTTGGTTGCTGTTAAAAACAAAGTTAAAAACATAAATAAGTATAAATTTTTCTAATATATGTGCAAACCGTAGATTACCTGAGCACAAGTTCTTGCATTATGGTTTGGTTGTCCACATTTTTCGCAAGTCACGACTTTATCTTTTCTGGACTGTGACCACACTCCTTGCCTTTTAATTACCTCATCCTTCTGCCTATCTCTCTTAACGTTAGGCTTGCCATCCAACTTCACCAACTCCGGTGGCTCCATTGCTTGTGATGGGCCAATTTCCAAAAAGTGTCTCCTCTAACAGGTTGAAACTTGTGTCTATAAGCAAGTAAAAATACCTCCTTACTATACCATCAGTGCATCTCTATTAAAGGGTCACCCCTGTTGTAAATTATATCTCTAATAGCATGAGGACATGGGATTTTTGTAAGGTCTCATGCCCTGCAAGTGCACCTCTTTATGCTTAAATTCATACAATGCTTGTCAGATCCTTCTATAACTTCATATCCATTTTCTCCATTGCAATTAACTTGACAAACTTGAGCAATCTCCATGAATTAAATATAGAGTTCTCGGCTCTTTGGACTAAACTCATTGCTCCATGTCCTAACTTCTTCTTCTTCATATTTTTTCATCATGTTCATGACTTTTGAATCTAATTTCCTCCAACATCTTAATGATTGACCTTTTCCCTGCAATCAACATCCATTTATTGAATGATTCAGTCGGATTATTATCAACTGACTGATTAAGCTATGCACAAAGCCTGTGGTGGGTACTGCAATAAACTCTCAAGTGCTTGTTGTTGCACCCTATTTTGCACAAGTCAAAACAAGATTCAACTTGTGGTTTCCCTGTTGATAATGAAAGAGAGTCACCACCTAATATTTAAAGCTATACTAAGGTACCTATTTAATTGTTAAACCATTTTTTATTAGTTTACTAGCAGTGAGATTTTGGTAAGGTTCTTGTTCTTCTAAGGGAAAGGTATTAGGCACCCCTTAAAATCTACCTAAGGTAGCTCCATAGGACTTAGACTAGGTTTAGGAAATTTAATGTCTATATTCTACTTGGTTAGTGCTTAGAAGCATATTGCTTACCTTATATTATGTTTTAAAACTTATCATTTTGAAAGGAAGGTAGTATATGTATTTTTTTTAAGAGAGCGCATATGTTTTACTTATAAAAACCTTGAAAAGTGTTCATATTTGTGTAATTGAGAGATCTTTTGAAAGTATATTTATAATGCTTTATTTGTATACTTTGTAAATATGTCTACGTTTAAAAATACTTTACTTTTGAAACGAAATGATAGTTTGTGTAACCTTAGTGAAATAAGGATTACTAAAGGAATGAGTTTAGATACACCTTGAACACTTATTTGCAAATTCTGCAATCAGGTTTAGATGAAAATCGTTTGAATTTCTTTAGTCGTGACTGTGCTCGTTTGGTTTGTAAAAAACTCAACTTTAAAATTATTTACCCGATTCTGGCTTTTAAAGAAAGAGTATTGTCAACTTTGCAAATCTGTTTTGAACTTCAAAAATTCAAAAAAAAATCAGTTAGTAGGCATGAAAGTGAAAACTGGATAATAGAAATAATTAGACAAGTTGAAGTTATTCAACTACTGAAGAGATAATACCTCTTAATTTAACTATGGGTTTTAGCTTCCCTAGGATGCTAAAGTAACTCAAAGAGATAAAAAGAAAAGCATTCACTCAAATATTATCAGTGTCATGCATACATAAAGGTAACAACAAATTATGTAAATTAATAAATGAATGGAATGGACTCATAGTTTGAGCCTGAAGAAAGTTAGGCCCAACGGACAATGAATAGCAGCAACTTCAGTGACTTCCGACTCGGGTTGGAACTTGGGCTTGAGTTCTTGAGAACTCAGCAAGCCAGTTCGGTTACATGTACAAAAGAGGAAAGGCATACATTAGTGACAAGGCTCAACATAATAGTTAAGCATAAATAGTATCAATATAAGGCCCAAAATAGAACTGTAAAAAATGATAGTAGTTCGTAATGCAGTGAAACCAATATAAGGTCAAAGAGAGTAAACAAATTAACAGTGAAGCCTTTTATTCCATTTAACACTAATCTTAAAGGTATTAACAAATGTCAACGGTTAAGAGCTTAAGGTAAAATTTCATTCATGGCCAAGACATCATTTGGATCCCTGGCACTTCAGAGTTCACAAGGGTCTCAAGGACCCCGAGCAATGCTTGTGTCAAGGATAATATCTCAACCGCAAATTAAATCTAACTCCTAAATACCCTTAACTACTCATACTTACTTCTCCCTATAGGTTTAAGTGCCAATAAGGTACTCACTGTAACTTTCAATATGATAGTACTTATAACACAATGATAGATACGTTTTTCACAGCAACTATGTAGAATAGTATCATGAGTGTAAGACAATCAATCACTATTATAGCCACAATCCAAACACAAGTATATGGTACAGTATCAATACTTTCAACATGTTCGAGTATGCATAAAGAAAATAATTACAGGTGCAAACAAAGGAAAAGAACACCAGCAAATCATTTTAGAAGTTCATACACTAAACTATGTGATTCAGAGAAGACATATATGTCAACCTTTACTGGTTCCGCTAATCAATTCAAGTTTGCCGGAGTCATTAGTTAAATCTGCAGTACGTCATGAGTTTATCAAACTATGTTCAAACTCAACAGAAATTCACACACATAGATCAAATCTTAACTTCTTACTTGGTATATAAATTAACAGCCTATTTCAGAATCTCTAAATAGTATTAACAAGGATATTTAAGAAAATAAAAGTGATCCTTATTTAAAAAGATGACATAATCCATAAAGAATCTCTCATTCACACTAGGTTTAGTAGGAGTTAATGCATATTATTATACTCAAACAAGGCCGATAAATGATACGTTGGTATTTTACCAACTTATCTTGTCTTTAAGCTTATATTTTGCTATGATTGATGTGATAAAATCATGTTTTTAATGCCATTTACTTCTATATTATAGGTTCTATGTGATTTAGAAGTGATGTTGAAGAAACCAAGTAAAACAAGTCAAAAAGGAGCTAAAAAGAGGAAAATCTAGGCAATGTCCTTAGTGGTCGCAATTGCGACATAAACCTGGGAATTGCGAAGATTATAGGTGTGGGTATTGCGAAGAAAGTGTGGGAATTGCGAAGGAATACAACCTAGGCAGTCATCGCAAATGCGAAAAACTTCGCATTAAGGGAGTCAAACTTCGCAAATGCGAAGTCCTCTTGGCAAATGAGAAAGTGCACAATATAGTCATACTTCGCAATTGCGAACCTTTGTTCGCAAATGCGAAAATCGAGCATCAGACCTGGGCAATTTTGGAATTTCACTTTTTTTTTGCCCCAAACCATTTAATACCCGACTTAGCTCATTTGTAGAGGATCTTTGGCTTATTTTTTTTAGTTCCATCGACTAGAGAACAACAAGTTTTGAAGCTAGGGTTTGCACACACACTTGGGTTTTGAAGATTTCAAGCTTGAGATTAAGGATTTCTTACCCATTCATGTTTATTTCTTCATTTCCTTGCTTTGTATTGTATATCTAAGTGTGCAATATTTTATTCAATACTTGAAACTTGTTTATGAAAATATTCATGTTTAAAATGTGGATTAAATACTTTGTTGTGCTTATGTATTGAATGATTTTTATTCTTTTATGAAGTGAGTTATTGTTTCTTTAATTATTCTTGTTCTTTAATGTATCTAAAGGGATTAGCTAACCCTAAGACTCGCCCATTAACTCCGAATAAATTTTGAAAAAGATAATTTGGGGTTGGGAAAGATTAATTAACATGAACTTGAGGCTTTAACCCTTATTTTATAGATTCTACCTAGGAATAGGATTGAACTACTTGTAGCCATTCTGGGTGTGCCTAATCTCTTAATTATTTTAGGGATAATTCAATTAG